GCACACACACACACACACACACACACACGCACACACATACACACACGTCCTGCTCACGCACACACACTCCCTTTTCTCCCTTTTCTGCGCACACATAACGCCCACATTCCAGGTGTGGCCTGTTTACAACGACCTGCTGCAGCTGTTCAGCCCAGAGGCCATATTTGACGCAGGTCCAGTCAGCCCACAGGAGCGCAGCCGGTGAGAGGTGCTCACAGCAGGGCCGGCCAAAGGGGCGGCGGCGGCCTGTGCGCCCGAAAAAACGGCGCCGCCGGGGATCAGACGAGGGGCGCTTTGCAGCGGGCGCGCGGGGCAGCAAGGCGGGGCGGTTGGCGGAGCGGCGACTGGAGCGGGGCCGGCTGCTGGTCTAGCAGCAGAGGGCCGCCCCAGCACTTGCCCCGGCTGTGACGTACATGCGCGCCCAGCAGACCATGAGCGGTTTCCGGGGCTGGCGTCGACCCCGCCTGCCGTCCACCCTCTACACAGTTGCATCCTGCGTGCTGATGGTGGATACTTTGCAAAATATCTTACAAATATCTGTGACCGCCCGCTCCCGATCCCCACCCCCCAGGACCCTCAACAGCCTGGGCGTGACTGTGGCGGCGGCGTTCCTCCTGCCCCGCTACCTCTTGGGTTGGGCTGTGGACGACACCCTGCAGGTGGGCAGCACAGGACAGCAATCACGGCAGCCGACGCCGTCCGCGCCGCCGTCGCGGCCATGGCAGCGACGTCTGCCTGCTGGCACGCAGCCCTGCCGCGGTCGCACGACAAGGCTGCATGGTCCGGATCGGCGGCGTGCGCGGGCGCCGCTCGCGCCGGCGGCTTCGCGCGCCCCCGCCGCCCCTGCCCTGCTCTTTGCACCTCTGCTACCCAGCTTGGCCCCGCCCCCGCGCTGCTGCTGGCTCGCCTGACCCCAGCGCCCCGCAATGCCGATCAACAATTTCCCCTGCAGATCGTGCTGCCAATGATGTTGGGTCTCCTGTTCTTCGACGCGGCGTTCCTCCTGGCCCTGCTGTACAAACTCTCGGCTCTCGACCGCGGCGGCGGCTCCGGCGGCGACTGAGAAGCAGGGTTTGTGCGCGAAGCGGGACGCGACTCGGGTAAAGACAGGGAGGGGCGGTGTGTTTGGGGGCTTCGCTCGTCCTGGTTCGTTGTTGGGGGGTGCTTGCTGTCTCGTGGTTGCCGTTTGTTGCTTGCAGCTGGGTTTGTGCGGGTGTTGTCAATGTTCATCGCAGGGATCTGCTTCTTGCTTTCTAGCAGTCTAAAGTGGAGATAGAAACCATTTGCTTTGCAGTTTTGTTGAACCGAGGCGCCTTCTGACGGTTGGTGGCAAATCCGCTTTTGAGTGTGCATGAGTTCATGAGTTGATGCAGCGATGGAAACCCAACCGTCCCGTGTTCTGCCAGAGTGAGCAGCTACATGATCGCATGATTGCACGACTGTGTGCAGTGGTTGCGGCGGTTTCGCTTGTGATCGCCCCTTGGCCGCTGCGACAAACATTGTAAAACAGGCAGCCACCCTGCAACCCAGCGCGTGCTTGTGTCGTAAACACTTGCAATGCGTAGCATTCAACCTGCGCCATGGCGGCAGGGAGGGATGACCTTCGTTCCAACCGACGATCCTACTTTCGCTTCTGCAGCACTCATAGGCACCGATCAATCACTGCCAAAAATGTGGTTGGGGATGCACGCCACCTGCAATCAAATCTGCAAAGCACGCGCATGCGCCAGGACAGAAACAACCTTTGAAACACAAAACTGCCTAAATCACGGCGGATATTTTGCAACAAGCCCAACCCGGCCGACCACGACAGCTGCTACCGTATTCAGCAACAACAGCCACCTATTGCTGCACAGAGCTGTTGCGCCTCGCGCCAACCAGCGCCCCGTTGTCTGCCGCGCTGCCGCCGTCGCCGCTGCTGCTCCGGTTGACCGCTGCGCCTCCAGCCCAGCCCTCCGCCACACGCGCCGCGCCCCCGCCAGCCCCTCGTGCCTGACCAGCCCCGGGCGCCGCGTGCCGCGGGCCAGCGCTGCTGCTGCCGCTGCCGCCATCCGCCACGATGACATCAGCGTCGGCCGTGCTGACATCGCGCCCCGTCCTGCTGACGTCATTCTCGACCAAGATGACGTCAGCAATTACCACCTCGACAGGGGGCTCGAGGGGCACTAGAGGGGTCGGCCGCGGCGCGGCCGCGCCCGCGGGCGCGGCAGGCAGCGGTGCTGCTGTCGATGCGCCTGCAGCTGCTTCCGCCTTGGCGGGTGCCCTCGGGCCGGCGGCCGATTGCGGCGGCGCCTGGAGGGTGCGCATGCTGCCGCTCCTGCCGTTGCGGCCGTTGCCATTGGAGGGGAAGCTACCGCTTGGCCTTGCGCTGGCGCCTGTGGCCGGCGCCTCAGTTCTGCCGCTGCTGCCCGTCGCAGGCCCATCGCCGCTGCCACCGCCGCCGCTGCCGCGCTCGCTGCTGCTGGTGCTACCACCACCATCGCCGCCGGTGCCCCGCTGCGCCGCGGGGCGGGTGTCTTCAAGCACGCGGAACGTGATCGGCTCCCCGCCCTTGCCGCCGGCGGACAGAGGCGTCCGCGCCGGCGACGGCGCGAGACCAGCCAGGGGCGGCGGCGGCGTCACCGCAACGCTCGTCCCGTCACCGCCCGCGCCGCCGCCGGCCCCCAACCCGCGATCCTCCGCCGGCCCGCCAAACAGCCACGGCAGCGCTGCCGCGCCGCGGCCGCCCGCGAGCGCATTGAATGGCCACGGCGCCGCGCCTGACAGCGCCCACTTGATCGCTCGCGCGGTGGCGCGGCTGCCCGCCTTCTGCATGATCGCGACGGGCAGCACAATGGCCTCGCGTTGCGCATCAGGCGGCAGGCGCTGCAGCTCGGTGACGAGCCAGGTCAGCACGCCCACCGCCTCGCCTGCCGCCGCGACCAGCGCCGCCGCCGGCCCGCCGGGGCCGGCGGCGGCACCGCCGGCGAGACCGGGGGTGGCGGCGTCGTCGATCCCAAGCGCCGAAACCGCCGCGGCGGTCGAGTTGGCCGCTGCTGCGGCGGCGGCGGCCGCCGCGGGGGTCGTGGAAGAGGCGGCGGTGGCGGATGATGAGATCTCCGCCATCGTGGTGGCGAGGCGGGTGAGGCCGCGGATCTGCTCCGCGTCTGATTCCTCTGACAGGCGCGGCAGCAGGAGCAGGTCCTGGCCGGGGTGGGTTGAGGTGTGTGTGTGTGGGAGGGGGGGGGTCGAGGAGACATGAGGCATGAGGAATGAGGCATGAGGCATGAGCAGCAGGCACTGCGGCTGAATCGCGGCCGGCGCGTGCCAGTACGGTGAGAGTCAACCGGATGTTGGTGGGTGAGGACACGGAAAGGTGCGTTTTTGACACCGCGCGGCGTTGGCCTGGCGGCACGAGCAGCGGACGAGCGCGCGGGCCCCACCCGCTCAGCCCCGCGAATCACCTGCACCAGCGCCGGCGCGGCCCCGCCGCCGTTGCCGTTCCTGCCGCCGCCGCCACCGCCGCCGCCGCGCTCGGCGAGCCCGCCGGGTAGGAGCAGCGCGGCGGGGCCGGCGGCCGCGAACGCGGCGAAGCGGGTGGAGGCGCTTGACACGAGTGCATCACCCGCTAGGCGCCACGCGGCGTCGACCCCCTTCGCCACCTCGTCTTCCAAGATCTGGAGGGTTTGATATCGAGATCAAGATTGAGATCCAGATCATCGGGTCGGGTCGGGTCAGACCGCTCGGATTGAGTGATGGCAGATTAGATTTACGGAATGTGGGCGAAGAGGTGTGGGCAGATGATTCCCAAATTAATTGCTGGGCTCGATTGGGCCTGCTTGGGGGGCGACCCGCCGCGCCGCCCCCCCCCCCCAACCTTGGCGCGCCAGGGGAGGCGAGCTGTTGGGTCGAAATAGGCGCCAGCTCAGCGTCCCGGGGCTCAGATGCATCTGCCCATCCACGCAGGTGGGCGGACCTTCACACAACCCAATAAGAGCCAAAGGCACAAGGACGATGTGCAGTTTCAGAGCGCAGCGGCCTCACCTCTCGCACATAGCTGCCGTCACGGCTGAGCAGCAACGCCAAGGGCCCGCCGCTGCCCTTCCCCTCCGCCTGCCCCTCCGCGCCGCCCCCGCCGCCGCTGCGCGGCGGCGGTCTTGAGGGCGAGGTGCGGGCGCGGGCGGCCTGCTGCAGCAGCTGCTCGAGGCGGTCAAACCTGCGAGTCAAAGGCGGTCAAAAGGCGGGGGGGTTTGGGAGTCACAGCACCATGCAGGACTCACAGCACCTGCTGACGCGTTTCACACTGTGAAGAGATTGCAATTGAGAAGATATCAGATCCAATGACAACAAACAGCCTGTTGTCTATTGACCACATCAGAGGCGTCGCTGTTGTGAATTTTCATCCCAGCCTGTGTCGTCTCATTTTCAAGACGCCACACGGGGGCACCGGGGCGCCGCCCCGGGCCTGGCCAGCAGCGTCCACATGGCGGGCTTGTTGGACGGCGCCGAATCGCAGCGCGCGCTGCGCAGTTCAGTGGCTTTTGGGAGGGCGCGGCGCGGCGCGGCGCGGCGCAGTTGGGCGAAGGGGGGCGGTGTGGTGGGCGGGGCGCACCTGAAACCACCACCCTTGTAGAGCAGCCGCTTGAGAGTGGCGCGCAGCTCCGGCGAGGGCCTCGTCAGCAGGCGGCGGCTGATCCAGGGGTAGGCGGCGCCCAGCACCTGCAATTTGACCGTGGGTTGACCGTGTTTGACCGCGTTTGACTGGGGCCGCGCCGCGACGCGCAGCGCGCGAAGCAGGGCACGCGAAGGTTGTGATGGCAACCGTGGCAAGCTGGCGCCCTGCGGCCTGGCGCCGCCCCGGCCGGTCCCGGGACAACCCCTCTCGAGCCTGCGTTGCGCATGCGGCCTCATCTCAGCCAGATTCAACTCCTGGTGATAGCCACGTGACGCAGCACCACAGAACCCCTTTTGTGGGCCACACGTCCCGTCCCTTTTGCATACCGCGCAGTCGGGCGGAAACACACACCCCAGAACACACACACAAACACACACACACACACACAAGACTGCTGCCCGCATGGCCAGGCGGAACGGGGCAAAACGACAGCCCCCCCATGTAAAAAGGATTCGAATCACCCCCCCCCCACCTTGTAATTGGGGTCGGATGCCAGGGCAATGCCCTCCAGCACGCTGAGGGACCGCACCAGCAGAGTGTAGTAGGGCGGGATGCGGAAGCTGAAGCGGTACATGGTGCGGCCCAGATCACCTGGAGGGGTTTGGATTGTTTGCCGGGAAGGAGAGCAGGGGCGGGAGACTGGGGGCACAGGAAGGGGGGCAGCGCGGGGGGCGCTGCGGCGGTTGCGGTTTCGAGCACGAGCGTGCCAAACTCGCGGCCGGGACCAGCGCGGCTGAGGCTTGTGACAGCGGCAAATACAAAGCGAGCCGGCCGCGCGGCGGCGCGCCGCCCCGTCGCGGCCGCGGGCGTGGGGGCACTGCAGGACTAGCCCCGGCGCCCGGCGGCGCTCAGGCGATAACGCGCACATCACCTCTTTCCCACACACACATGCTCATCCACACGAGCGCGCGCACACACGCACACACACGCACCTGACAGCGTGCTGAAGGACAGGTTGCTGACTCCCCCCGATAGCGCCTTCTGGAACACGTCTGTCAATGCGGGCACAATCTTGCTCATGTCGCTGCCTGGGGGCAGCAGGCCCAGGTCGAGGAAGTCCTGCGCCAGCTCAGAGTACTCCCTGGAGTTGAATTTCGCGTTTGAATTTAAGAAACCGAATTGAAACGGTGTTGTGGGCAGGATGTTAGGTTGACATCGGCCGGATTGTTTACTTTTGGTTGATTACTATCAATCATGGTTGAATGAAACAGGGATGTCGGCACGGTCGGGTTGAGCCCTCAACCCTCAACCTTGGAACCCTGAAACCGCGTCTTTCCTTTCCGGTGCGTGCCGGAACATCTCCCTTGCCCCTGCCC